GCGACAGCCGCATCCGCGCCAGCGTCGAGGCGGCCAAGAAGCAGCAGGCCGAGCGCGAGAAGGCCAAGGCGGCGAAGGAGACGGCCGGTCGTGCAGTGCCACGGGGCACGGCACCGAGGGAGGCAGGGTGGAGGTCGCAAAAGGTGCCCCTGGCCCAAGGTGTCCTCAGCTGTTCGCTCAATTTTTGATCCCCTATGGGGCCTTCTGGGCCTCGTGAGGGGTGCTCTGGAGGCCGTGGGGGCCGCTAGCCTGTGCACGCATTCGCTTGCACGTTGGAACACCACGTCGTTCTCTCGGCCTCAGGGCAGTGCGCAGCAGCAGGGGAGGATGAAACGGGCCACTGTCCAGAGAGAGGTCGGGAAAGGGGAACGAGAGAGAGAGAGAGAGAGATAGTTTGCTTCATGTTCGTTTTGGTTGACATCCTGCATCTACATTTCTGCGCTGACATGGAGGCCGGCACGCCTTCCTTGCCTTGTTATTGCTTACGAGTGCTGGGTGCAAACATTTGCAAGTGCTGCAGTAACAGAGCGTCTGCGCGCACGTTGAGTTCGTCTGCTAAGTTCTGCGCAGGCAATGTATTCGTCTTTCCCGCGGCTCAGTTTCCACGAATCTCGGCACAGTAGAACTCGGCGAGTGCTGCAATTCATGTACAGCTTGTGCATCGGTTTATCTGACTCTACAACGCCCACCGTGTCTAGCGAGTTGGTCTTCAAGTTTCGCTCGTCGGTGCCAGTATTTGATTTCAGTTTCATTCATTTGGTATATATATGGTTTCCCTCCGACCCGGTGATAAAGTGCACCCTCCGGAACAGCAAAGACGGGTCACGTTTTAAGCTGAGTGGCCACCTTGTGTAGCGACGTGAGAAAGAAACATAGAGAGAGAGAGAGAAAGAGAGAGAGAGAGAGAGAAAGAGAGAAAGGGATAGAGAGAGAAAGAGAGAGACAGAGGGAGGAACGACGGGGAGACGCCGATTTGGAGGAGGATGGGAGGCAAGAGGCACAAGGCAGGAGGAGGTGCGTGAGTGGGGGCACGGGTCACGGTGTGTGCGTATTGGCATAGGTAGGGATCATGATTAGGAGGATGCGGACTTGCATGCTGGCGAGTGGGCGAAGGGGAGGACCATGGGGGGTGTCGGGCAGACGATGCTGATCTGATGGTGGAGGTGTGGGATCAAGAGTGTGTTGTTGGTGGCGACGGTGACGGTGATGGGGAGGGGGGAGGAGGAGGAATAGGAAGGAACAGCAACCGGTCGACGAAGTAGCACGTGAGCATACAGGAAGGGGCCAGACGAGCGGGTCGCAGAGAGACGGAGAGGGGCGCGGGGGGCGACGGCCGCCGGCCACCTCGTCGACGGGCCCGGGTGGTTCACAACGGACCTCTCCGCCCTGCTCGTCTCTGCCCCCTCTTCACCTTCGTCGTCGTCGTCGTCCTCCTCCTCCTCCTCCTCGCGCTGCTGCTGTCCCTGATGCCGGCTCCCTGGCCCCACGGGAGGGAAAAGCTAGAGGAGCACGCCCGTGGAGCGCTGCAGTGGCGCGCCCATATGGGGCATGCGCCCTTCGCGGGGGCACTCTCCGCAATGAGAAGAAACTCTCGCCAGGAGTCCAGTCGGACCGAGGTACAAGATCGAGGGCGGGTCGGGGAGGGTACCCCAGTGTTCTTCGTGCTTGTCGGATGTTCTTGTGCATCCTGGGGAGGGTGCCCATGGATGTTCTGTTTGTTTTGGCCGACGGAGGGTCTCCTGTTCTTGAAGGATGTTCTTCTGGCCTCGGTCGGACCGCAAACTGGGACTCAGATGAGGAAAGGGTGCTGATACCGCTGCCCATCCCGCGTTTTCGCCTAGTTGGGCCTCCTCGGAGGCCCTCGTCGCCGCCGCTGGATTCGCCTCGAAATTCTGGCCCGAACGTACCCCAGGAGAAGTCTGGGGAGTGGCGGTATTCGTATCTCTCGGTTTCCCCAGGGCCCGGGAGGGTGTGCCGCGACATCGTCGATGCGCCCTGGGTCTCACCTGGTCCTCCTTCCCCCCGTCCTTCTGCCACCCTGCCGCCTGCTGCCCCAGCCGTCCGCGCCCGAACCCCCCCACGCCCCCCTCCCGCCTCCCTCCTCCTTCCCCCCTCCTCTTCCCTCCCCCTCCCGCCTCCTTCCTCCCTCCTCCCTCCTCCTCCCTCCTCCCTCCTCCCTCCTCCCTCCCTCCTCCTCGGGGGATTCGCTCATTAAACCCATCGTTTAAGGTTTCACACTGGGCTGAAATTATGGTTCTGTGCTCACTGCGGGGTTTACGCCACCCAACAGATTGGGAAGCTAGCCGTCGCATGTGACACACCCACCGCCACAGGGCGGGAGTATTTGCGTCGAATTGCATTGGGGTCCTGGCCCAAAGCGCTCAGCAAAGCTGAGACCATCCAGCGAAGGGGGAAGCAACAGGCACCTCAGTAGGTGCCAGCGGATTCCCATTATCATATCGCTACGCGATCAGGCAGAGTCTCCAGAGTCTCCTCCCTCCTCCCTCCTCCCTTCCTTCCTCCCTCCTCTTCCCCAGACCCCCACACAAGTCGTGACTGGACCACGACGTGGACCCCCCGAGTTCTGGACCCCTCCTCCAGGACCGGCCTTCCGTCCCGGGCAGCTGTGCGACGGCCCCGGGGGCCCGGCGAGGGCCTCGGGAGGCTGAACACGGCCAAAAACGCTCCGCCGTGACAACGGCCAGAAGCGTTCCGCCCCAGGAGGAGGAGGAAAAAAAGGCCAAGGGCGTTCCGCCTCAGGAGGCAGAAAGCAGCGAGGCCGTGCTTCACGGGAGAAGATCGGCGGCCAGCCCGGAAGGGGAAGCGAGAGGGCGCGGGCCCTCTCGGAAGGCTCGGAAGTCCCCTGGCCCTCCGAGAAGCTTGCGAAGCCTTCCCCGAAGACGCAGAAGACCTCTCCGAAGGCGCGAGGGCTCCTGAGAAGTCCCGCCGCCTGCCCAGACGGCCTGCTCCTCCTCCTCGCGCCCCCCCACCTCGCTCGCCGCCGAGAAGACCTCCCGCGGTGCTCTTTGTCGCGACGCGAGGGGGTCTGGGCCTCTCCGCGGACAGGCAGGGAAGCCAGGGCACCGCAGCACGCCCACGGACCACGCCCAGCCCCGCGGCGCCCGCCAGCGCGCACGGCAGGTTCGCGCGCCGTGCCGACGCGCGGCGACCCCCGCGCGGGCGTTCCAGGTGGAGCGCCGCCGGCGACCCGGAGTCGGTTCGAGGGGGGGATCGACCAGAGAGTGGACGTTTGCCCCGAGAGTGATCGTCTCGTCGAAGCCACCTGAAGGCACGCAGAGAGGCCCGTCGATCTAGGGAGCAGTGCAGGTACGTGTCGCAGGCTCGACGGATCATAAGTTTTGTGTTTTGTGGGTGCATCGATTCTACAGTCGATCCCCTACTCGATCGGTCAATGTTGAACGATCTGACGTTTCGGGAACGGCCGATCGTTCAAGGTTGAACGACCCCCGCAGTGTCAGGAACCAATGCCGAAGTCGGCACGGCACGGATCTGCAGTATTGCGGTGAGGGCATCGGAGGAGGAGCCATTCGGTGAGGAGTCCAGGGCCTGGAAGCTCGTGGAACACCACCCTGGGGCATAGCCATGGATCTCACCGCCGCCCTTTTCAGTTCAGGAAGCCTTCTGGGTCTGAAGCCTCCTGGGCACATTCCTTCACGAACGCCCCCACCGTACGTGTCCGCCGCTGCGTATGATCTCCGAGCGCACACAGGAGGTAGTAGTCTTTCGCCCCTGCTGTCTCGCTGGTGTCATCGTGGAGTTGCCTGGGCACCCCGCTTGCAGCAATGACGCGGGGACTCACTCGATTCTTCGTTGTGACCCTCCTCGTCGTCCTCCCTTCGTTTCTTCCCCCCAGCAAAAATCAGGAGGTAAAGAAGCACACAGACACAATTAATCGTCGACTTCCCAGAAAATATTGGAAAATATGGGAAGTGGGGGGGAAGACAAAAACCCAGAAAATATAGGAAAATATGGGGAATCTTTTTATTTGTGTGTATTTATTTGTGTGTCCCAGGGCCCCTTCAAAAAACTCGGCGGTGCGCCCTCTCCCCTCTGGGTTTCCAGCTCGGCGGCGAGCGAGGGAGGAAAGCTTCGGGTTCGAGGTTCGAGGTTCTCGGCAGTTTCGTCTGTTCTCGTCGGTTTTCTAGCCTCGGGATGCTTGCCAGCAGCCGCGCCTCGCCGAGGGCGTTCCGGTGGTGCCCGGATCGTCCCGACTCGAACGCCCGCATGAGACCCGAGCTGTGACACAAAAACCAGATTCGGCGGCGAGCGAGGGGGAGCAGTGAGAAGAAGAAAAAGAAGAAGAAAAAGAAGAAGAAGAAGACTAAGAAGAAGAAGAAGAAGAAGACGCCGAAGGCCTTCTCAGAAGGCGGCGGGGCTTCTCAGAAGCCCTCGGGCCTTCTGAGAGGACTCCTTCGTCGTCGGGGAAGGCTCAGAGAAGGTCTCAGAAGGCTGCAGGGCTTCCGAGCCTTCTGAGAAGGCCCGCCCCTTCTCCCCCCCCCTGGGGCTCACCGCCGATTCACCCCCCTAAAACAGAACTTCCAGCCTCGTGGCGATGACGAAGGCCACCGCGCCGACCGCCGAGGTCCGTCCTCTCTCTTCTCGCCGACTTTCCTCCCCCCAGAAAAGTCCAGCGTTGCGGCGATGATGAAGGCCACCGCGCCGACCTCGGAGGTCCGTTCTCTCTTTGGACGGGGCGAGGACGAGGACGAGTCCGTTCCAGAGCGTTCCGGAACGCTCTGGGAGCGGTAGGGAACGCTCTGAGAAGGCCGCGGCGCCCGAGTCATCTTCCAGAACCGCCAGGTCTCAGAGATTCTCGGTTCATCCTCACCCGATTTCATCCTCGTCCTGGCTTCGTCAAATCTCTCTTCTTCCTCCAGCGGAACGGTCGTGGGGCAGCCCGGGCATGGCGAGGAGTCCTCGAGCCTCTACGCGGACATGCCGCAGCCGGACTCCAAGGACACTCCTCCCAGGGGGAGGAGGTGGCCCCCCCCTCGAGGAGGAAGAGGAGGAGGAGGAGGAGGAGGAGGAGGAGGAGGAGGTAGGAGGAGGAGGAGGAGGAGGAGGAGGAGGAGGAGGAGGAGGAGGGGAGGGGAGGAGGAGGAGGGGGAGGAGGAGGAGGAGGAGGAGGAGGAGGAGGGAGGAGGAGGAGAGGAGGAGGAGGAGGAGGAGGAGGAGGAGGAGGAGGAGGAGGAGGAGGAGGAGGAGGAGGAGGAGGAGGAGGAGGAGGAGGAGGAGGAGGAGGAGGGAGGAGGGGAGGAGGGGGGAGGAGGGAGGAGGAGGGAGGAGGAGGAGGAGGAGGAGGAGGAGGAGGAGGAGGAGGAGGAGGAGGAGGAGGGGGGAGGAGGGGGAGGAGGGAAGGAGGGCAGGAGCAAGAGAAGGCGGATGTAACGATGAGGAGGCGAGACAGACACCGCCCTTGCAGGTCTTAGTGTTGAACGCCGCGCAAGAGCCGCCGCGCGTTCTCGCTCCGCATATGCCCGACATCACGCAGCCATCGGCGATCGGCGGAGACAGCGCGTGCGCCGCGAAGGCCGCAGAGGTGAGCGATGGAAGCTTCTCTCTCGACGCTGGATCCCCGCGGGCATCGAGATCACCGTCAGCGACCGCCAGTCCATCGTCGCGGAGCCTAGCCAGATGCACGCGGCCACCCTCGGCCGACTGAGCGCCAGTCTTCCAGGCCAAGGATGTTGCCGAAAGCGCCATCACGAGCTACCTCAGTGGAGTCTTCCCGCAGCGGCCTCGTCTCGACTTTCCTCTGCCAGGTGAAGATGACCTTCTCCATGCTGCGCGTCGCGCTGGAGACGCTGCGCTAGGCTCTAACGGCCTCCCCCCCATCGGGCGCGGCTGCGCCCCCGAGGAGCCATCGGCGTGCTATCGGCACTCTCCGGCCACATCATCAACGCGGACCCCCGCGCGATGCGAGCCATGCGGCGATGGCGACGCTGCCGAAAGAAGACGAGCCCCCCCCCCAGGGAACATCGGGTGCGCGCTTACTCTGGCCACCCTCCGACCCCTCAGCACGAAGAACACGGACGTCAGGATCCTCGCCTCCGCCACGTACCGAGTACTCGGCACGGCAGCTTCCATGACCGCTGGAGAGCAGCAGGACTTCGTCAAGGGCCGCCAGTTCCTGGGCAACGTTGCAATGGTCGATGCGGAGGCTCGCGGACTCGGTGCCGCGCCTGACGCCGAGGAATGCGCGCCCGTTTTCGCCTCCACGGGCAATTGCCGCGGCGGTCCCCTCGCTGAACCGACGATGGATGCAGGCGGTCCTTGAAGGATGGAGAATGCATGGTGAAATCAGGCAGCGGCAGCTGATCGCGCCCTCCGCCCGCTTCTATGTGCAGACTCGGGGTCGGCGCAAGGTTGCCCGCTCAGCGGCGCCGCGTGGACGATGACATTCGACCCGGCGGCGCGTGCTCTGGCCTTTGAACTTCGAGCTCTCCAACGTGGGCTCGTCAGCGCCTGCGCCGAATGCATTGGATTCATCCTAGCGAGTCTCATGGACATCGGGCGCCTGGTCCCGCATCTCCTCGTCGCTGACTCGCTCGCTGGCCTCGAGCTGAAAGCCGAGGAGCGCGTCGTCGTGCCGATCTGGCCGCCCCGGCCCACCTCGCAAGACCTGCGCATGCGAGAGGCACTTCGCGCTATTCATGCTCCATGGGAAAGCTTTTTGATTCGGGGCAAGGCTTGCTATCTTGGTTTCTTTGTCGGTCCCGGCGCTGTCCTTCGCGATCAATGGCGCGGCCCCGCGTCCAAGCGGCGGGGCTGCATTCTGAAGCTCGCCGACCCCCGCGCCCCCTACGACGAAGCACCCAGATCTACAACGTGGCCGCGGCCTTCTGCCTGTCCCCATCCGCGCGAGCCCTCCCCCCCGACCATCCTCTCGAAGGAGCACCAGGCCATCCACGAACCTTCAACGGTGTCACCGGACAGCTTCGCCAAGTCCGATATCCTCGGCATTGGCCCGACAGATGAACGTTGAAGTCCCGCACGACATCGAGACGCTGATGGCCGCGACGATGTGGCGCGCCGCCAACGAGACCACCTCGAACTGGATAATCTGGTACAATAAGCTTCGCGAGAGCGCCTTCGACCACCTGCCCATCGCGAGCGCCGTGAAGGGCAACTGGTGCTCGCCCTCCTGGGCGAAGAAGACGTCCATCGTGGGGCGCCTTGCAGGGTCTCCAGCTCCTCTTCCCTTGTGCGGGTTCCCGGTTCCCGCTGCGAGAGGCTCGTCCGTTCTCTCGGATCCCCCGTCCGCGCGCAGGGTGTTCTCACGGCTGCCCACAAGCACGCTGCGCACCGCGGCGTAGCTGCGCTGCTTTAGACCAACGTCGGTGACAGCGACGGGGATACAGTGCGGCGAACCCCTCAGAGAGCGCATCAGCTCGCTCTACAAGACAGGCTTCACCACGATACCTTTCACATTCCACATCGCGATCAAGAAGCGAAAGACCGCCTGGTGCCTTCCACATCCTTCCCCCGCTCTCCATGACGACCCCTCGACTCACCGAGCGGCGCACGCGCGTGAGCGTCTTTCGAATCGAGCAGCACGTTGGGCGGCCCACTTGCTGCCTGACGCTCGCCTCCCAAACCGCGCCATCCAGAGCGAGGTGGATGGAGCGGCTAGGCGCGTCGAGGACGTCTCTCGCGCCCTGCAGGGCGCCATCCTCGACCCGCCCTTCCAGACGGGCGCCCAGCGCGCGCGGGCTGCCGCTGAGCTCTGCCGCGACGCGCGGAACGCCTCCAGCGCGGGCAGGCGCGCGTTCGAGCTCGCTCTCCTCGGACGTGTGGGCGGTGGTCTGCGTCGCGCTCGGCGGCAAGAAGCGCTCCTCCGACGTGCAGCGGCCGAACATCGCGCTCGCCGAGTTGGGTGCCCCGCCATCGTGGCCATGATCCTGGCGACAACGATCCGCCACTCCGTGCTGGTGATGATGGTCGCGATCGCGATCCTGATGCGGACATGGACGTCCCAGATTCCGTGCAACTGGAGCGACTCTCTGGCGATCTTCCCGATCGTTGGATTCGCCTCTGCATGCATCTGGCGACGCTCGCGCCCGCTCGCGCGCGGGCCGCGATGACAGCGCTCGCTGGAGCATGGACGGCAAATGCGCGGATGCACGTCGCCCCGCAGCGCCGCTCACGCGCCTTCGGTTGCTCCGACAACGACTCCATTCGTTCGTTCCTCCTCCTCCTCCTTCTCCTCCTCAGCCTCCTCCTTCTCCTCCTCCTCGTCCTCCTCCCACTCTTCGTGATTGTGCTTTATATACTCGGCCTTCGGCCTTGCATTATTCCCTCTGAGTAGGCTGATTTCTTTGGTGGTCGTTGTGGCTGCTGGAGCTGGCGACTCTTCTCTCGCCGGCTGCTGCTGCTGCTTGGCCCGCCCTCGCTACTCCCCCTTGCAGCCAGTGCTGCTCTTCCTCCTGGGCTGCTGAATCCGACTGGTTGTGGCGCCGATTGTATCATAAGGACTGTCTGCGAGGAGTTAGTCGCAGCGAATCGTGGCAGGAGCCACGAGTGCCCTTGCCGACCTGCCCGCGCGTCGCTCAGGACGCATGGCCATCTTGCCCGCTTGCTTTTCTGAGATCTACAACATTTCGGCGCCATATACTGCCTGCCACCACCGCCAGTCCCAGTTAACTCGGACTTCGTGGCGCCTGCCACCAGGCACCTCTGCTACCACTGACCTTGTGTAGTGTGTGACGACCGCTGAGCTAGCGGCGACACGCAAGTTTTGTGATGTGGTTCAGCAACTAACGTGTCTTGCTGATCTGGTGAACGATGAGGCCGAGTTTCAGAGTCAATGAAAGCATGCCTAGTTGGCCCTGCCAAGCTGGCGCGGCTGGACCGGGGGATGCTAGAGTATCATGGGTTTTGTTACGCAGGTTCATCAGCATCGCAAGGAGGGGTTCCTCTCAGCCCCCGCTGAACGCTCAATCCACCACTGAAGTATTTGGCGTGTTCGCCCCTGTTTCCCTGGAGCCCCTTTACTTTCCACATTGCACCTTGTCTCTTGCAGTGTTGATTTGCAGCGCCCCTTTTTTCCCACCTGACCGCAGGTGCTGCCTGCACTGCTTCCTGCCGCAGGCCCTTGAGCATGCCCCATGCCCCACGTGACCAATCTCGCCCTGCTCCTCCTCCCCCCTCATTCCCTCCCTCCCTTCCTCCCTCCTTCCCTCCTCGCATTCCGCCGCCCTCCTCCTCCTCCTCCTCCTCCTCCTTCTCCTCCTCCTCCTCCTCCTCCTCCTCCTCCTCTTGCGTGTCGTTCGCTCCTCCTCCTCCTCTTCCTTCTCCTCCTTCTCCTTCTTGCCGCCTCTTGGGCGGGGGCTGGTTGCCGCATCCTGGTTTCCAGTCCGACCCCGCGCGCACACTGTCATGCATCCACGGTTTGGGTGAGTGGCAACCGGCTGTTCTTTACACTGAGGCTGGGGGTGGACGTTGCGAAACCTGTACCGGCGGGGGAATGCCTCCGTCGTTGGGTGTAGAGCGGCTCTTGGTCTCGGTGTGGAACGCAGCGGGCACTGGGTCTGGGGGGGGACATTGTGGAATTTGTATCGGCGGGGTGGTGGCTCCGTCGTTGGGTGTAGTACGGCCCTCGGTCTCAGCCTTGCCCTGCTGGTGGCGGCGATCGCCAGGCGCTTGTGGTGGTCTTGGGCGGCCCCGAGGGATCTGCGGTCTCCGTCAGAGGTGGTGGCGTGTGCCACGCAAGCCCCGTGGGGCCTCGTGTCTGCCCACGGATGGGGCAGCTGTCCCCGGGGCGCCATGCCAACCGATTCGGCGGGGTTGTGCCTGGCGGCCGCACCATGCCGTTTCGGTGTGGCCGCGAGTCGCCAGGCGACGCGGCCCGCTCTGCATGCCCAGAACCGTGCTTTCCTCTGATGCATAGTAGAGCTTTGCCTGTGTGCAGGCGCTGTTTCGCTTATAGCCTTCCAGCCCTCCTCCTCCTCCTCCTCCTCCTCGCCTTTCAAGCTTGTCC